CCATGGTGAGAAGTTAACCATCCACAGGAAGAGAGTCTTTATTGCAAATCAAATCTGCCAGCACTTTGGTCATGGACTTCCAGTCTCTAAAACTGTGAGATAATAAGTTTCTATTGTTGAAGTTACCCAAACTTTGGTATTTTGTTATAGAAGTCTGGGCAGAATAAGAACCTATAAAGTTTCGGAGGTTCTTAAGCTGGAGCTCTTGGAGCCCCCAAAGAATCCATGGATAGAACTGTACTTCAGTACAATCATTTAAATGAAATTCTATGTAATTTGTACATTTAAAAACATTATTCTTAGAAGGGGCCCAAAGTTGCAATCAGACTTTCAAGAAGGTCCATGGCATTAAAAAAAAAAAAAAGATTAAGAAACTTTTTAACCTCCTGGTTGGCATGAAATGAACATACGTGGTACAGGGCAAGATGACTCTCAACTTGTTTTCAACCATGAATTTTACTAGGGCCTAATATATTCCAAGTCTATAACCTTTAACTATACTAAAATCTATAGATTGATGTAGGTATAGTTGGGGAAAAATCACATGGAATTGTCCAAAATATTTAATTCTAACAGATGTTTATGTTGAGTGTGAGCTTCTATGTATCATAGTGTAACCATATGTACAGATACCCTATGTAGAGATACCATATGCATGTATCTTATGCACCACAGTATACCATGTATGGATTACAAATTACAGCAAATATGATGATGGTAAGTGCAACAAGGAAATTAAAAATATTCATAATATTTTAAAGCAGAACTGTAAGAGTCCTTCTAGTAAAGCAGAGCTGCTAATGTCTGAAATGGAAACAACTCACACATTTGCTGAGGGTGTTTAGAGAAGAAGGCTGGTGAGTCAGTGCTAATGACTAAATGGATAAGTAAGTCAATCGAGGCCAGGGATGGTAGCTCACATGTGTAATCCCAGCAGTTTGGGAGGCGGAGGCAAGAGGATTGCTTGAGCCAGGAGTTTGAGACCCTTCTGGGCAATATAATAAGACCTCGTCTCTACAAAAACTAAAAAATTTAGCTGGACATGGTGGCACGTACCTGTAGTCTCAGCTACTCGGGAGGCTGAGGAGGGTGGATCCCTCTAGCTCAGGAGGTTGAGGGTGTGGTGAGCCATGGTCATGCCACTGCACTCCAGCCTGGGCAACAGAGTAAGACCCTGACTCAAAAAAAAAAAAAGTCAATAAAATATTTGTGTTGTACATAAAATATTTATGCTTTACTTTTCCTGTAAAGAAGGAGACCATCACTTATTTAAAAAAAAGTGAAGAAACTAAATATTACATCTTGGAGAAACACAACAATAATTCCATAATATCTAGAGCTGGACCATCTCAGAACTCCTTCAACATCAAATCCTAACATCTACAGAAGATAGAAGTGTTGAAGAGAATGTGGGGAAATTGGAATCCTTGCACACTGTTGGTGGGAATGCAAAATGGTGTAACCACTATGGAAGACAATGTGGAAGTTCCTCAAAAAACTAAACATAGAATTACCACATGTTCTAGTAATCCCACTTCTAAGTATTTGTCCAAAATAATTGAAATCAGGATCTTGAAGAAGTATTAGCACTCCTGTGTGCGTTGCAGCACTATTCACAATAACCAAGATGTGGAAACAAACTAAATGTACATCAACAGATGAGTGGATAAAGAACACGTGGCATACACAAATACTATCAGTCTTAAAAAGGAAGGAAGTTCTACAATATGTGACAACGTGGATGAAGCTTGAGGACTTTATGTTAAGTGAAACAAGCCAGTCACAGAAAGACTAATATTGCTGCATGATTCCATTTTATATTGGTATCTAAAACAGTCAAATTTACAGTATCAAATAGTGAAATGGTGGTTACCAGAGGCTGGTCAGAGGGAAAATGGAGAGTTAAGACCCTTAAGGTTTCTGTCAAGCAAGATGAAGAGGTCTAGAGACCTGCTGTGCAACTTTGTATCTGTAGTCAACAGTCATGTATTGTTCTCTTAAAATGTGTTACAAGAGAAGATCTCATGTTATGTGTTCTTACCACAATAAAAAAATCCTAATGCTGGGCAAACCCCTCAGGTCCCCTCCCACTGTGGGAGTTTTTCTGTCCTCTCAATAGATCCTGCATTCTCACTTAAAAAAAAAATCCTAATGCCAAACAAAATAGTGCTTGATAAAAGAGTAGGAAGAATTAAGAAGAGGCCAACCTCTCATAAATACATAAGTAAAGTAGTTATGGAAATAAACTTTTTAGGCTGGGCTCGGTGGCTCAGCCTGTAATCCCAGCACTTTGGGAGGCTGAGGTGAGTGGATTGCCTGAGCTCGTGGGCTCGAGACTAGCTTGGTTTGGTAAAGACCTCATCTCTACAATAAATCAAAAATTAGCTGGACATGGTAGCTTGCACCTGTAGTTCCAGCTGTTTGGAAGGCTGAGGCAGAAGGAACGCCGGAACCAGCAGGTCGATGCTGGGGTGACCATGAGCATGCCACTGCACTCCAGCCTGGGTGATGGCATGAGACTCCAAATCAAAAAAAAAAAAAAAAGAAAGAAAGAAAGAAAGAAAGGAAAGGAAATAGCTTTTTGGAGAGTTTTCCTTTGTCCACAACTATATTTATGAGGAAAATAAGTTGCATAAAAACAGGCAATGAATATATATGAATAATACCATTAACCTTCAGTTATTCATCTAATGAAATGGGAAAACAAGATATGGACAATATGAATAATGGAAGTTTTTATTTTGTACATGTGGAGAATACATATATAGTTCTACACATACATCCATACACTTGAAGAAATATTCATAAATGCTTAGATTCTAGGAAAGTTTGGGTCCTCAGTGTCTGTTCCCAATATTCTATTGAGTTGACTCTACTAGTTGCCTTCAAATCAGCTTATAATCAGCTATAGTATGATCTAAAATGTAAATGAAAAAAAGACTAAATTGATATTAGTCAAGTTCTTTACATTTTATAAAACATTTTGACACATATTCTCTAAAACTATTTAATAGTTGCAATATGCATTGTACAAGTATTACTATAACTGAAAGATTTAGAATTAGTTTCGTTAAACTACTGTATTACAAGTGATATTGGTATTCATTTCTATTAAGCACTATATTATTTCGTCAGATGTTCATTTGTGTATATTATATTCACATTATATATATAAAAAAGGCCATTTAACTGAATAACTACAGAAGAATTAGTGCTAATAGATGTATAAAGTGCTGAGAAAGGATTGAGTTAAATATATAGAGGTATGAGTGTTGCTAGCACAGGTTCAAAAAGAACATCTTTGAGACCTATCTTTTTTCGTGGCTAGGTAGAGGCAGAGATGAGAAGCAGGAATTGTTCCTCGAAGATATACCCAAACACCTGTGCCCTTGCCTGGCCCTGTTGAATTGACCCTTTAAATGACTCACATATATGTTTGAACCTGACTGAATAAAAATGAAGGTAGCCACCCATAAGTCTCAAAGCCAGCAGAGAGGATATATGTGTCAAGGGACTGAGTCATGTGGTTTGTCACAGAAGGCCAAGTTAACTAGAATGCAGAGTGCAAGTGTGGGGTGAGGGGGCAGGCTAGGGTGTGTGTGAGGCACACCGGTAGGCTGAGTTCGGGTCATGAGGAAAGTTGAATGCTGGAGTCTGGAATTGTTCAGTGGTGGCAAGTCATGGAACGGGTAAATGTATTACTTTAAAAACTGTCAGCGTTCTTCTGGAGTTTTGACACAGAGAGGAAGACTTTACCTGACTTTTTCATGTTTGTATCTCCAGCACCCAGAGAGCCAGGCACAAAATATGAGTTCACTGCATGAATTCAAATTTTTAGGAGGGATTTGACAATATGCACCAAGGCACTAATAAGTATCCTAGCATTTGATACAATAATTCTACTTGTGGAAACCTATCTAAAGTTATGATCCAAAATGAGAAAATGTTTTATGCATAAGGTTTATTACAGTATTTCTTTTTTTTTTTTTTTG